ACTATATCTAGCTTCTCACCTATTCAGCTCACAAAATCGCGTGTCGTATCCGGGGTATCTACAGAACCGGTTGAAGCACCCAAGAATTATGTTGATTTTGACGAGGAGCCAGAGCGATTGAAAGATATGCTGAGAGGAAAGGGCGTAAAGGACAAAACGGTAATGGATTCCCTTTTATCCGGGGTCGAGAAAAATCTCTCGGTTGAAAGACCTAACAACACAGGTCGTTCAACGCCTGCCAAAGCCGGGACGAAGAAGAGAGACGACCTTCTATCCACTACCACACATTCTACTGCTCCGTCCGTAACATCATTATCCTCCCCGCCATCTCCGGCTCTGTTACCACAGTTCCAGTTCTCGGACAAAGAGGGAGGTGATTCATGGACATTCTGCCACATCTTTCCACCGCAGAACCAACCTGTCACTGAGATGGCGAACCTTGATGGCGGGAAATACCTGGTTTGTATACAAGAGAAAGGGTACGCATCCTAACTCATCTCTTAATCCCTTGTTGAAATTGAAAACGGCGTAATGTACTAGCAACCTTTATGTCTATGCGAAAGTAGATGGGTCCTGCGTTGCGGCATCTGCATCTGATGATGATTCACCATCCATTCAAGACAAAGGACTGAAAGTCCGTACAACCCTACCAACTGTTTGGACATGGAAGCATCTCCGAGTAATTTCTGTTGGAGAGGTGCGCCGGGAAAATTTATTTTATATTGGACGTCACCTGAAGTTTATATCTGCATGTATCTACTTTCTTAGTCTCAATTTATCTTTGCAATGGCATCTTCCGAGTTGACCGAATCGAATACACTTGATTATGCAAATGGTGATAGTGAGCTGCAAACGCGGATTGTTGGATATGAGTTCATTCAAGGCCATGATGGTGATCCGGACAGCACATATCTAGATCGGGTCTGCGATTGGACTTTTGACGGACCCGTGAAAGGAGTCGATCTCCACTTGACTGATTCTGGTGAGTCTCGTGTGTATTCAATCTGTCCGAGAGTTGACATGTGCGGCCTTACATGGTCTTCGTAAGGTCAAATGGAAATCTTTCATGTCACGTCTTTTGGTCATTTCATCAAACAACAAGTCACTTTAGTGGAAAAGGCGGTAACTCCAGAGAACAACGCGCAGAATTCTGGATCTTCAGTTCATTTACCACTGCCTAACTACTTGAAGGGACTAACATCTCGTTCCACCGATCACATACCGGATGAGGAGAAAGCCGAAAGTCGGGACAACGAAAAACTCCGCCTGTCGGAAGAAATTGACATAGGAGGGCTTGCATTGAGTGGTCCCGTTCTATCCATCAGAACCATGTCCTCGTTGGACTGTCTTCGAGGTGTCTTGTGGTCCAACAAGGAACTCTGTGTATGTTGTTGCAAACAAGAGCAAACTGGGTTAGTACTGATTTGACTTGCAGGGTTTCGAGTACCGTCAAAACTCCCTGAGAAATCTCTTCTCGTCCCCTTTGAGTGGAATATGTGAGATAAAATGGAGTACGGCGACATCGTTTACGGTTCTGTTCAAGGTATGCCCTGAGTTCTGATTACAAATGGTTTCTTCTATTCACCTGACAAAATAGGATCATGCCGAAATTTACCATCTGGTAGATGTCGATGACAATAACGACGTCCTCACCCCAAAAGTTGGACACCAAAGTTCTCACAATACTCGGTCAGTAATCTATGAGTATACTGTCTATCATTGGCACTTGACATTTCCTCAGACCGAAGTTGGTTCATTCCGCATCGCTTCTTCCTTCTGACGAGCGTTCCATAACAACGGAGGGACATATTCTTACTACGCGAGTAAAACGAGGTCAACGGAGAATAGAGTTTACAACCATCAACTCTTCTTTGGCTGATACCGTCTCAAACACTCTGTGGAGGCCCAAACCAATCGAGAAAAATGATTCGCCACCCCCTCGAATCACCGCTATTCTCCCGCTCGAATTGCTAACAGTCATCCTGGGCTACGGTGCGCACTTTCTTTCTCGCTCAATATGCCTTAAACTAAAGACTCCGCATCACTTTTGTTTAGGAGACGGCTATCTCCGAAAGACAACATTGAACAAACTGTCAAATACACTGACTGGAGGGCAGTCACCAGATGTTGCGTCCAACGTTCCTCTGAACGGCAACATCGTCACCCTACATCTTGTTCAAGATACCAGAACTTGGGAACGTCTTATTGTTGGAGGTGCCGATGACGGATCCATCGCGATTTGGAATCAAGAGTAAGCATCTGACATGAGGGTATTCGTCTACTGACACTTACCACAATAGTTCTTTGAAATTACTAGCGAGATGGGTCGTATTCACCGTCCCGCTTACGCAGGTCATTTATTTGAACGACGGCCGTTTGCGTGGATGCATATTTTGCATAGCTGAGGATGGCGCCACTGCTGTCATCGCTCTAGATGGCTATCAGTTGTAAGTGATTTGCAAAGGTTCTAATGTCATCAACTTACCGCATTACAGCCTCTTTCTCATACCTGCAGCGGTTGCGCCTCTGAAGAAACTTTGTCTGGGAGAAGATAACCTGTTATTGTATTACTCAGATCACCGAGTGAGATTATGGGATGTAAAGACAAGAGAATTCTGGCGCTCAATGTCGACGGAGAAAGCCCAGGATCTTCTGAATGGAGGTGGCTGGACTGAATGGTACTTTCCGTTACCGAGATTCATTATTGCTATACAGCAAATCTGAGGTTTGGCGTCTATAGGTCCATGGAGAAGAAACCTTCTACCGTACCGAAATCATTTTCAACACTCCGTACTTCATACAGAGCAGTAGACGGCTGTGTGTATTTGAGTTATGTACTCTTCATGATGAATCTCGGCTAACGTTCATTTGTATCCGCAGCAGCGACGTTGCTTTTCGACGTGGAGGCATTCCTTGTTCAACTCGGACTTCACGCACCCTCCTTTTCACCAGGTGAAACAAGTCTGAACGGACAAATATCGTCAAAATTAGAACAAGTCAAAGCGGCACTTTCGCTTTTAGTCACCACTGGAATTAATAATGACATTGACCGACTGTGCAAAGACAAGATGGGAATGTCTCCTTCGAACATTGGAACAGGCTGTGTAAGGTTGGTACTCTCATCGGCGATTGGGTTTAGCTCCTGCTGACCATATGGTTTTTCGACAGCCGACACGGCGTGACGATATTGTATGCCAGCCCGAATGCTCGAACCTCATGGAGCCTCTCAAGGGCCCTTTCCGCGGCCAAAGCTTCAGCCATTGTGGCTTTGTTAGATACGTTGTTACTGTGGGATGGTATGCAACTCGGATTTTACCAAAGCTCCCTTTCTCACCCACAAATCCAAATTACAGCTAGTATACCAGATGCGGAAACAGTCACCGCCTTTTATACTACTGCTTTGGGCTCAGCGATTGGGGAACCTTATCGACCCCCAGATCTCTCGATATTGGCCAAACAATGGCTGGACGCTACCAGTAAGTAACGCATGATACATGATCTTTCGCGGCTAATTTTTGGGATAGTTAACGCCCTTCGACATTCATCGCGGTTACTGACGGATGCTGGAATTGCTCGTTTGTCTGATGAAGAAACAATCAGACTCGCCGATATATGGCAAACCGACCGTAAGTGCATAGATGTCGATACAGGGACCGTAAATTCACGACAGTTTGACTAGTACCCATATCGCAACCCGATGTTGCAAAAACTGCCGTAAGGGCTGCATTGTCGCTCTTCATATGTGGTTCAATTGCGATTCAACGATATACGTTACTACCCTCAAAGTAAGGCTCGGCGCTCTGTTCGTATGTTTGCAAAAGCTAATTCTGACACCTACAAGCGTCCTAACTGACATCGCTAAGTCCATATCCTTGTACCTGAATGACGAGGCATCACCGTATCGAGGACTGGCAATTGACCTATGTTCTCGGGGCTTCCCGATATGGCAGCAGCATGTTGATGCCGTTCAAATGCTCCGCGCTTTATTCATCCTGGCTACTACAGCTAAAAAGGAATCCATATCGGTTCTCAATGTTGGATTGCAAGCTCGTACAGCTATCTTACATATCGCATCTAACAATACCCCACTTTTTATGACCACGTTGTCGATGGATATTTTGCACCCTCAGAGTTTACAGCACCGGAAATCTGTCATGCAGTTGGTCGTTTTCCTGATCCGAAAGGTGAGCAGATCCATACGCCAATGATATTTATGTTATATAAATGTACAAAACTATAGAAACCACTTATACTTTACAGCAATCTGCCGCGTCTAGTTGAAGCTGTGGTCAAATCACTTGATCCCAACTCGACAGCAAGCCGTGAAGCAGTGATGGATTCTGCGACTGAGATTCTGGGTCACATTGTCCGATGGTAAGAAATGACTGCACCGCAACGACAGCCAAGCTGACATTCTATGTGAAGCTTCCCTACAGTCGATTTCCACATGGCCACTCAGAGGCTGGCGGTCGGCACAAGTGAGGGAGCAGTTGTCATGTATGATTTGAAGACAGCCACTCGATTGTACGTTCTGGAGGGACACAAGAAGAGGACCACGGCGTGTAGCTTCTCCCCGGACGGACGTCGTCTTGTTACCGTTTCTCTTGACGAATGCGCTGTACTCGTTTGGAAAGTTGGCTCGAGCTTCTCTAGCTTCTTCAACCCTGGTGCACCACCTCGTCAAGGACACGGTGGCTCTGAACCATTCAAGACTCTTAACTTCAACGTTGGAGATGCAGGTACGCATTCGAAGTCGTTTCTACCGCTATTTTTACGTCTAACCTTTTTCCTGATATGATAGCGAACATGCCTTTAGCCACTACTTTGGAAGCGGTGAAATTTGAGTGGACGGCAGAGCGAAGTGTGAAGTTGAAGATTAAAGATAGTGTTTTGACCTTCAGTACATAGATATTGACCCGTAAATTATTCAATTTATACCCACTTTCGGGCGGCAGCCTACCTACAATTACCGTATAGCGACTTTGCAAAAAGCGAAGATGTGGACACACTGGGAATTGAACCCAGCACCCCCTGCAGGATTGTAGCTTGATTTGCTAAGCAGATGTGATAACCAACTACACCATGTGCCCTCAATCAGCGGTCTTTGGCTGCATCCTCCATCTCAATGCCATTTTACAAGGCTCAACTTGAAGAATCCGAAGAAATTCGGAAAGTATTCAGGCCGCTTGGCCACGTAAGTAGGCATCAAGACCGTGTGGAAATCGCCACTACGTTGTTCTCGGGAAATGCCGAGCACGTGAACATTGGAAAGGCGCTCAACTGTGGAAGCAATCATCCGAACCATCATGGCAGCTACTGGTATTGGTAGTACTAGCACAAGCACAGAATCTCTGTCTTATCAACGTCCACTCTTGTTGGCTGACTTCAGAACAGAGAGTACCTTTGAACAAATCCCGATTATGTGGGTATCATTTTCAGTCGAAGATTCAACTAATTGTAACTCTTTGAAGACAGAGATTTGGAGTGTGTCTCGAATGGTGGCAACGACTTCACTGCTCGTTGTGCATTAGCGGATAATATCCGCGATGCTTGTATCAATGTTGGATTTTTCTATGGTAAGCTTTCCTTGCATTTATCGACAAATTTTTACGTATCAATTGCAACCAATCCCTATCAACAGTAAAGAACCACTCGATACCACAAGAGGTTATCACGGATGCAGTAAACGCAGCTAAAGATTTCTTCTCTCTCCCGCTTGAAAGCAAGAAGTCTATAGATATACACAAGAGCTCTAACTTCAAAGGATATACTGCCTTGTTAGATGAAAATACGAATCCCGAGAATCGGGGCGATCTTCACGAAGGGTTTGATATCGGTTGGGAAGAATTACACTCTGGTGCATCTCGGGAAGACGATGGAGCTATGACTGGCGATAATGTTTGGCCGGATTCGAAGACTCTACCTGACTTCAGAGGTAAAGTTTTGAGATATTAGTGAGTCGCAGTATGATATCAATAATCCTAGTATCCTCTGATTCTGAGTCTTGATTCGGTTCCAATGTTAACCCCCAAGTCATGCGGCCGTGAAGCTTGGTCAATCTCTCTTTCCTGTGTTTGCTCTAGCCCTTGACTTACCTGAAGACTTCTTCGATGATAAGGTATGTATTTATTTCACTGTCAACAATTCTCTAAAGTCTACTACTGTGGCGACAGACAACGAAGCCAGCTGCTATCATGCGTCTTCTATACTATCCTCCTCAGACTGGACCAGTCGACGATAGAGTGGTAGGAATCGGAGCTCATACTGAGTGCGTCAATTGAACTTTGTTGCAATAAAAAATCTAGTCTAACCATGACATTTCGTTGTATATGTGATTCATACCACTAGCTATGAGGTGATTACATCAGAATCCCGCCTAAGTCTTCTCAGTTCTTTCTAATCTCTTCTTTCAATCACTGACAGTGTTTCACGATCTTATGGCAAGATGAAGTCCAAGCTTTACAAGTTCTAAACAACGATGGGAAATGGATAGATGCGGTCCCAATTCCTGGAACGTTCGTCGTCAAGTGAGCAATCTTTCTACCAAAGTTCATCGCGCAACATTTACTGAACGGAACTTTTGATCTTGACTTTCATGTTTACTCGTTGTTTTACAGCTTAGGTGACCAATTCGCTCGGTGGACAAGTACGTGTCTTTTCTATACTCATATATTCATGAGCTATAGCTTATAAGTAATATTCCCTTGATTCATTCTCTTCTGTTCAGACGATATTTTCAAATCCACAGTCCACCGTGCCATCAATCGTTCCGGGATAGAACGATTCTCTATCCCATTGTTTTTCGGAACAGACTATGATGTTAAATTAGAGGTATGTATCGTGATTCAATTCAATTAAACCCCTCCTTCACCTGTTGAATCGCTGCATCTAGCCGTTGCCAAGTTGCATTTCGGAAGATGATCCTCCTATATATGAAGTTGTTACTGCTGGGGAATATGTAAAGTCAAGATTGGAAGCAACGTATGCTCATTCGAAGTAACCCGACCATCTTCGTAATACCAAGAGCCTCCTTCAATGTATTTTATCGATGTATAGATAGATACAACCTTGTAAGATACATCGGACTGATCTGAGATCGATATGCTTAGCCACAAATATAGTCTACTCGGGCGGGACTAGTACTAGTTCTGAGTTCACGATCGAGGTTCGGTAACTATGAGAGATTTAGACGATTCAAGTTCGACCTCAAAGCTGTGTGGATTTAGCTGTCATTTTGGTACCATGACGATGATATGATATTAATGAACTGCGAAAGACTGATGGTAATATTTCGATACACATTTATCCACTTGGACCTACAAATTCTCATTTTCTTCCGGATCAACGCGTACAGTACTTACTTCAAGGGAAACGATCAGCGCAAGACAGCTGTCAGATGAACGATGAATTTGATACAACAAACGGACAATTAATACATTTAAAATTTAACTAACTATGAATATGATTAACACCAACACCAACATCCTGGTCCTTGTTCCATACAATCAGGGTGCATCCGCTATAGCCCCTCATCGTACAATTTTCGACAAAGTGCGACGTAGAACCTTTCTAAGTCCATCTTCGACGAAACCTCTCCTTTCTGAGACGAAGAAAGTGACGACGACGATGATGCCGATGAAGGTGTTGATGAGGAACTCGAAGTAGGTACTTGCTCAACTATCCAATCAAACACAGCACTCAGTTTTTCGGTTGAAGCGTTCACAACATCATCCGCGAACTCCTTGCCAGGTAATTGAAGCTGTGACACTTGTTGTTGTCGAGCCTTCGCTCTCTCAGTAGCCTCAAAAGCTAATGACGCAGTGTCTTGATTTCGAGAAGACGAGGACGAGGAACCTGACTGTAGTTGCTGAGCAGCACTGACAGCTGCGCCAGCAACTTTGGCCTTCTTCTCCTCTCTCTTCCAAGCTCTCACAAACTTCCCCCAATCTCCAAATGCCCAACCGTCACCGTTTCCGTTGCCGCTCTCCTGACTCTGGGAACTACTGGCTATAGCTTCTACCTCCTTCTCTTTCAAACTAGTACTCTGCAGATTGACATCCATGCCTCTAGCACCTCTCAGAGCCCAATGATCACATTCCTCTAGCATCCCCAAGAACTCTCCCCATCTAGCACTTTGCACCGTCACTAACCCGTCGTTGCCCCATCTCTGGTGCTCTGGTATATCATCGAACAATATCCTCCCCTTCTCTTGTTCCTTCTCCTCAAACCCATCTAGAACCATCTTGGGTAACCATAGCGGATGCCAGATACTAAGTGAAGAAATACGACCGGCTACACTGAAGTATTTCACATTAGGGGAATCAGGTGTAGCGGGGTTGAAAATGGTATTGAGGTATGTCGACGTGAGATTTGCGTATGCAGGCGAATCAAAAAGGGAGAGGAGGAGAGTTGTGAAGGAGGACGGGAGGGAAGCGAGCGAGAGGGGAAAAGACTTTGACTGTGAATTATCAGTGGAAGAATCCGATTGCGCGACCGCATCTTGAATAGCTTCTTGCGCGACAGCAAACGCTTCCTCCTTCTGGCGCATCTTTCCTAAACCAATGTTCTCCTGCAAAGAGGCTGAGTAGTGAATACAGCCATAATCCATCTCTGACGTACCATGCACCAATCCATGAATGGGCTCCCGCGGTGAGGTGTACCGATCGTGGTCAGAGAAACTGGTGTGTATTCCGTCGGTTTGATATGGGTGATCAAGTATCGGCAATCTAGACCCCCCATCGAATGTGCCATAAAATTGACCTCTCGGCCTCGCGCACGTTCCTTTAGTAGCTTGTCCATGCTCTCCGACCGAGAGGCAATTGAACCCGTTCTAACACTCCATTAGATACTAGCAAGGGTCAAAGCGTGTATTTGATGCTTACCCTGGCACACCTGTGACAATAACTTCTGCTCCGACCTTCTTTCTCAACACGTTCAGCACATTGGCCCAATAGTGCTGGCGGAACATAGGGAATGATTCCGGTCCACGTACATCGAAGCCATAGAGACCTGTGATGGAGTAAGTTGCATCCGGCGATGTAATAGAAAATTCACTGACCATGGCAGAGAACAATGGGATTCCGTGGTTTGCGAACCGGGTCATACAAAAGAGGATGGCTCAATAGCTGATGCAATGTGTCGTTTCTGTTCGGTAGAAGTCGAGGTCGAGGTGGTGGACGAGTTGGAGGAGGATTGGTTGGATAATTGGGAGAATCAAGATGCTGACTTTCTCCTCCTTCCTCAACAGCTAAAGAGAGCCATGGCAACCATGCCAAAGGTCTGAACTTATCCCAACCCTCGACTGGGCATTGACCGTTCCCGTGTTCGGCAGTTTGGATGTCATTGTTATTGTTGTTCCGGAGAAGATAGTGATGAGAGATAGAAAGCGTAGACACAACGTTTACGAGACGACGAAAGAGAACAAAAACAGGGGTAGGAAACCATATTGTCTGCATGGTAGCAGCATGTCCTCTTCTTGCCGCAGGGATGATGGTTTGTGGAAGAATGCTGTGGGAGTATTATCAATTATCAGTTTTCGATTAAATGGGGTGTTTTCGGTGGGGCCGGTCGGTAAGAGCGGAGTCTCATGCCGTAGCGCCTAATCACATGACCTCTCTACGTTAGCAGTGCACGTGCTTCATCAAATCGTCCTCGAAAATGATTGGAAAAGATAGAGGAGAGTTTTATGTGGGTGTGCTGGTACAAAAGCCGGGACAATTGAGGTAAAGTGAAAAGCGCAATGCTGCCATCAAAAATACGAATTGTTGAAAAACAATTAATGACTAGTACTGTTGATACTGACGGGATGTACGCGATGGAAATTTTCAAGATACTACAGAGGATATACTAACACATGAATTATCTTGTTCAAAAGGGTACCGGACTTCAAAATCAGCTTAATGGAGATTTTTTTTAAGGTCATGCGCTAAAGATCATGTTGTGAAGTATTAATTTTGTTCATTTCGCCTCGGTAAAAAAAAAACAACCGTGTGTAAGCCATTCTATGTGATGATCAGTATGATTACTCTCATATACATGGTTCGGTGCCAGTGTACTATCTGTAAGCAACTGGAAGTATGTTCGTCTTCAA